GTACTAATAAGGTGGCATCAGACAGCAACTCAAACTAATTACTATCTTGCACCTGCTTTAAAAGTCCTATAGTAATGCTGTCCTAACCCACAAGAATCTGCATTTAATTTTGTCCAACTTAAAATATGGAATGCGCACATTTTGTACATATACTCTGTGCCATGAAATATTAGGACTACTCCTTGTGTCCTCTGAATACTGCCAAGGAAGAAAGTGAACAATGTAGAGAAAAAAATTTGCTTACTTCATTTGTAAAAGAGATACACTACCGGTCAAAAGTTTTAAAACAGCCTAATTTTTCCAGCTATTTATTGCAATTCAAGTCATGCAAATCCAAAGAAGAGCTTGAAATGGTACAAAGGTAAAAACTGAAGAGATATATAAAAGATAACAAAACACAAGTCCAAGCTCTGCCAAAACTACCTCAAAAAAAAAACAAAAAAAACAAGATGGTAAAGCTTGGGATGAACTGGACAGAAGAGTGAAAGTCAAGAAACCTACAAGTGCCACACATTTATGGGAACTTCTGCAACAGACTTGGGAAGAACTTTCTGAAGAATATTTGATTTCTGTTGTAAAAAGAACGAGTCACGAGTGTGTTCAGCTGTTATATCTGCCAAAGGTGGACACTTTAATGAATCAAAACTTTAGAACATGTTTTGGTCAACAGTAAACGATAAAAAACTAAAAGCGTGTGGTGTTCTAAAACTTTTGACCGGTAGTGTATATTAAGCAAAATTGACTTTTCAGAGATTTTAACCATGTTGTAGTTGTTTCCCTTCTCATTTACCCTCTCAAAATTGTCTTTAGACTGATTCAAGCATGTTTGAGTGATATTTATTCTGCTGGATTCAACACGTTATTGCTCCGATCTACCCCCGTTTTCACTCTTAATGGTTTATGCCTGTACTTGCGTCATTCTCCTATTTTATTTTCTTAAACTGTGATTCTGCAGTGTTACATAGTTTTGGCAGAGTACATACTGTATTTTTAGCACAAATCTGGGGAAAATAAAGCTCTAAAACATGATGTGCAGCTATGCGAAGGAGGTGACCACATTTATGGCTCCTAATCAGCTCCTAATGTGGCAATTTCAAACTTCCAAAATATAACCTCATGATACATTGGTGTCATATATTAACTATATAGCAGACAATATAAATCAGGCTGTTTTTCTCTGAGCGGTAAGTATTATTTTTCCCATAAAGTTACATAAAAATATAGACTGGGACTCCAGAAAACCATCACAGGCTGAATGTATTTAACTTATGTCTAAATCCTAGTGTCTCTGGGCTGTACCATCTAATTGAAAATGATTTCTGAATTCGGTGTAGGTCTCCAAAGACCAATGACAAACATAATACATGATATGTGTTCTTTCAACTTTCAACTTTATTATTGTCCCAGAGGGAAATTGTCGTGCACCAGTGTCAGACGTACAATACAATTCAATAATACATTAAACCACAGCTTAAAGGGACAGTCCGGAATTTTGGACATAGGGCCTCATTTCCTAGTGAGTCAGAGTGTTGGACACATGTGGAGACACTTTTTAAAATATTCCATCCAGTCCTTGTATTTGCAGAGGTCACTGGTGCTAGGCTAGTGCATGTCAATGGCCATAGTTATCCTGCCACTAAAAACAAAGATAACCTTTGGCTGCCTAAGAAATCATCCTGAGTTTGCAGCGAACATTTTGTATGTGGAGCGACAACAAAGCAAAGTCCCGATCCCTCGCTCAACCTCGGTTATGAATTTAAAAAGTCAACGCCAAAGCGAAAGGAACCAGCTGTTGACCAAGAAACACCTTCCACTGCAAAGAGACCAAGACGTGATGTTGCTGTAAAACCACAAGAACAAGAAAGTGCGAGCTCAGTCTGTTTGTTTTCTGCACCTCTAGCTTAACAAACGGATTTTGCTTTGTTGGCACTCCACATACAAAATGTTCGCTGCAAACTCAAAATGGTTTCTTAGGCAGTCAAAGGTTTCCTTTTTTATCCTTCCTGTGGATCAATTGTGCCCATCGCCTTCGCCTTTCGCTATTTTTCAATTCCATTGGGAAGGGAAACAGTTTGAACAGAGGTTTGCTGTCATACAGATCTGATTCCCTTTTTGCAGTTATAGAGTTCGCAAACTTCCAAACCCCTTTAGCCGCTATTAGAACATCCAACAACCACACAATTGTTATGTCCAAATCTCATAACTAAAATATGACAATATCAGAACCAGAAACAAAAGCGATATGGTTCAAAACACTTGAAAAGATCGGCTTTGACAATAGACGCACCCACTGGGAAAACAAACATGGCAGACTGATACTCACTTTTTTGGAGGACCCTTCCCAGTGTGCATTGCGCGATGGCTGGAAGTCCGAAATAGCAACATCTTATGAACATAGGGAACTACATATCCCATGATTCCTTTCAGTGCAGACAACATGAAGAATTATATATTTTTTTTACTTAAATTGTTGGGATTCATACCAAAATCTTGTCAAGGTATTTTAAAAGCAAAAAAAGCTATATAAATATTCACCTCTTCTAAACATCGCAATAAATATCTTACCGTGAGATTTGGATATCGTTACATTCCCCAGCAAACACCTTTTATAACACCCCATACTGTACAACAAAACACCAGATTAGGAGCGTACGTACATTAATTACTCAACACAATGCCCTTTCTGTCGGCTTACACCTGTTTCACAAAGCCACGGTACCCCAAATGTACACTGACAATAGCCTGTATACTAACAATGGTGCTCTGAAGTCTCTGCTAAGTCTGCTCCCTTTGTGGCGAGGCGTGCAGCAGACGGCGTGTAATTCTCTTGTGCATTGTGGTGAGTTTGTTGTGAGCCTTCGTGCATTGAGCTCTACTGTACCACCGCTGTCCCGTCCCGGAGGCTTTGTTCCCGGGAAATAGCTGTGACATCCGTGTAGTCTCCATGTGATGTCTGGTGCGGATAGGGGCTCTTTATCGCGTTATGTGTGAAATGCAGTTTGTTCCACATGGGACCAGTAACATTCCCCCGAAGCATCGTGCATGTTTTCACCTCCTCACTTTCGCTTTGCCTGTGTCTCTGCTGTCTGATGAGAAAAAAACAGAAATAACCTCGGTCAAGTCCACGGGTAGATGGTTGTTTGGAAGTTAAGAAGTTCTAGTATTTGTACTTCTGATGTATAGTAATGCAGTGGTCCATTGAAATAAAACATTACAATACAGTTACCTTACAATACTTCACTAAGATATCAGATCACCAGTGAATCCCCCTTCATTTCAGATGAGCGTGATTGACAGGTGCATGTAAAGATGTGTGAAAAATCCCTCATTTGTCCAGGTAGAATCCATGGCAAAAGGAGAAATTCAATTTGTCAACTGGACAAAAGTTTATTTGGTCGAATACGTTTCTCAGCTCATCTAAGCTGCTTCTTCAGTTCTGGTCAGACGCTGGTGGACACTTCCTTATATCTGCAGGGAGGAGCTACCTACAATGAAACTACTCTGGAACTAACACAACTACCTGTTTACAGTTTCTGTTTGTTAGTTAGGCCTATTGAACTTGCACTGAGTGTTGCGTTTTATTAGCATAACCATTCAGGCACATAATGGAGCTTTCACGCCTCTGGACCTGACCTGGCTACCCCTAATAATACATTAGGTCATTGTAATGGTTGTGACAGGCCTGCCCTACACTCAGAGTATGTAACCCGAGAGCCAGGTACACCCCTCAGGATGTTTTTTGCTACCTTTTTTTCGCTATTATTTTCTGTTTTCTTATATCTTGGGCCATCACAAGTTGATAGGGACCAACCTCAACTCTGCCCCGTTTGGGTTCAGTAGGTTTGAGGATGGAGTTGGATGGAATAAATAAACTTTTGTCCAGTTGACAAATTGAATTTCTCCTTTTGACATGTATGTAAAGAGACAGAACAAATACAGAGATATATTGCTCTGGACTTGCCAGGCAAATAAAACACCACTTAGCAGAATTTAAAGGTGCACTATGTAACTTTTCTTCTGGGTGTTCTTCCACTTGCTTACCTCCATGGAGATGTTATTGTTTTTCCACAGCATGGCATTAACTTTCCATGGAAACAAACATGATACACTAAGCCAAGTTAAGGCCAATTCATATTTCATAAGAAGTAAGAACTGTGCTCATGAGCTTCGAGAAAATAAAAACAAACATTTTTTTCGCGTCTGACTTTTCAGACTTTATCCAAAGTTGTGCTGCCGAACCATTCTATGCCCCTGCCCCAAACAACAGTTGATTTGTTGTTGCTATGGAGATTATCAATAATACCCTAGCAGCACAGATGTAGTATATTATATGTTTATCAAAATGACTGAAATTGAACTTTTTATTGCAGTTTCACAAAAGAGAATTTGCATTAAAAAGTGGACCATTACAACTTCAACATCACATCTTTTTCAACCAACAACATCACCATGGAAACCAGTAGGTGGAAGACAAGTTACACAGTGCAACTTAATTTTTCTACACTGGAAAAAAGCAATATTTATGTTAGTTAAAATAACTTAAACTAAGAAAATTTGACTGTATTTGAGTAGATTCAACTTGACGAGTAAAATTATCTACCAATGGAATAAGTGTGTTTTTCTTAATTCAAGAACATTCGATTTTATTTCTTATTTTAAGTGCAAAAAGTTGTTGTTTTTCTTATTTTAAGTGCAGCAAGATGTATTTTCATATTTTAAGTACAAAAAGTCTTGCTCCCCTGGCAGATCATTTTACTTGTCAAGTGAAATTTACTCAAATCATGATAAAACTTTTTTAATTCAAGTCATCTTAACTTGACTAGATTTTGTTTTTTGTCGTGAAGGGAGATCAGAATATGCCCATGCCAAATAAACCAACAAACAAAACTAAGGATGAGACAGATAAAGCACTCATGCACCCGTAGACTTGGCCTTAAAACTAAAACTTATCACCAAAACTGCTTCTTTTCTTTTCTGACTGTTCTGTTTCTTGTCTTTAGTGGTAAAACGGTAAAAGAGGACGGAGAGGTGAAGAACGGCACGGCTGAACCCCACAACGTCTCTGCGCCCGAAGTGAAGACTGTTCCCAGCGAGGCCCCGCAGGCCAACGGCAACGAGAGCAAAGCGTAACCCCAGCAACCAGGAAGAGGCGGGGCCAGGGGGAGGGGGAAAGGGGAGGGGCATAGGAGATGGGAGGGGTCACTGTCACTGAAACCTCAAAGCAATGTCGTATGCCATACCGCTCCGTGCAAATCTCAAACACTGCCAAAAAAGGGAAATGAAACTGGTTGAATGTAAATAAAAGATTTACAGTTGTACAAGCTAATTATGAAAAACTCAATTTGAGCATTTGCCATTAGTATAGACTGATTATAGAGGGGAGTATTATGCTAAATTTACTTTTTGGGGCTTTCTACCATGTTATAACGTTATTCCTTCCTCAAAAACATGCCTAAAGTGATGTTTGAGGACTCTGGAATAATTCAACAAAGAGCAGGACTTAAACCCTGATTCGATGTGCAGTAGTTTCATTAGCGAGTTGTATTGTGATAGCACTCTGAAGGGGGAGTGACTTAGGCTACGTTCAGACTGCAGGGCTTGATGCTCAATTTGGATGTTTTTGTGAAATCAGATTTTTTTGCGAGGTCGTTCACATTTCCAATTAAATGCGACTTGTATGTGATCTCCAGTGTGAACTTTAAATGCCTCAAAAGTGTCCCAGCTCAGTGTTTATGGAAGTCGTCTAAACACTGGGCTTTTCTCCCAAAATACGGTCCAGGTCTTCGTAAAATGGACCGGTTACACATCCACAGCCGCTTCGTTTGTTTGAGTCTTTAGCCTCCTTGTATTTGGCTCGCAGGCTCTTTATTTTTCGTTGACAATGGAGCCAGAACCACCTGTAGCCACGCTCAGATATTTCTTTGGCAATCATTTCAAAAACCACCCGCTTCCGATAAGACCCCTAGTGAGGCTTGTGCCATGTAGTGCCTCCACCCAATTTCATTTCTCTCCAGCGACTAGGTTAGGAATCAGAACACACTAGACGGTTTACAAGAAACACCGGCCAATCAGTGAAGAGCTGTGCAGCCATGATGTCAGACTCAAGTGTTTGTCTGGGTCCCTTTTGTGGAACAGCACAACAGTAAACAAAGCGGTCGATGGATGTAGACGAAGACAGACATTCTGTGTTGGTGACGATTCCCGAGATCGAGGATTTAAAGCCGGAACAAAGAGAATGTTTGGTGAATTTGTCAAGGGGAAAGACGTTATTGCCCTTCTTCCTATGAGATTTGGCGCATTACATACATCACGACCAAATAACAGTGATTGGTTAAATAGAAAAAGTACCATCGTGACCATTGTGACCAACGTACCATCGAGCGAATGAATCCTAATGCTGCGAGGTCAGTGAAACTGGCTAATGAATCAGGCTATAAGACCCCTCCAATTTGGCCTGAATACAGCGATCCCCCCAAATATGAATAAACTCTCTAACCTCACTTTCCCTTCGTTGTCTAGACTCCGAGCCTGAAGTGTAGGTCGGATGAAAGCGACCTGGCCGTTCAGGCTGAAGTCGCATGTCAAAAGATCGGATATGTATTGGTTTTATGAGCACATATCCAAATGGTCTGGGTCACATTTGAAAAAATCTGATCTGTATCGTTCAGACTGTCATTAAAAGATCAGACACAGGTCATACAGGGGCAAAAAAATCGGATTTGGGTCACTTCAGGCTGCAGTCTGAACGTAGCTTTAGAGTTGGGAGTAAGGGAAAGGGAGATTCAGCGCCAAGAACGAATCTAAAACAAATACATTGTTTTTTGCAAGTATAGCACATAACATTTTCAAAACAATAAAGGTATGTGTTAACGGTTAATATCCCATAGAAGTGTAATACCCTCTCTTTAAATTATTGGTAGCAAGATGTATTTTCTAATTTAAAGTAAATGTTGCTTTAAATAAGAAAACTCTACAAGGTATCATAACCGATGTTGATTTCCTTTTTTTCGCAGTGCACCGTACCATTCCAGCAAATCTGTAAATACAACCTGGGTTCTTTTCTAACTAGAACGATATGTAACAGCCTGCACATGCCTTAGTTCCTCCTGAGACATTCACACAAAATCAAAAGTTTGAGAAGTCATTTTCAACGGGACAAATACCACTTCCATTTTGAACAGTTATTTAAAAGGCTATGTCCAAACTAATATTTTCATTTTGTCAGATTACAGTTATTATTTTCTAGTTATTTCACTTATTACGAACTGAAATTGTTAGAGGCAGCACAGCATTCTTTTAAAACTCTTTGTTGTTCCCGGGAATTTTCCATTAGCCAAACCAAACATTTTCAACAAATAATCTTGGGGTGAAATTTTCAGAGCCTGCACTGCAGAAAGTAATATCTAGATAAGTTAAAAATGACTTGAATTAAGAACATTTTACATTATTTGAGTAGATTCAACTTGATGAGTAAAATGATCTACCAATACAAGAAAACAAGAAACACGATTTTGGTAGGCAAAAAGTATCCGTATCAACAAGTCAACATCAACATTGTCAACAGTTACGGGCATACAACATCAACAATCGTCATACAAGAGTACAACATCAACATCGTCAACAAATATCAGCGTACAACATCAACATAGTCAACAAATATTGGCGTACAACATCAACAATCGTCAACAGTTATCGGCGTACAACATCAACAATCGTCATACAACAGTACAACATCAACATCGTCAACAGTTATCGGCGTACAACATCAACAATCATCACATAACATCAACAATCGTCATACAACAGCACAGCATCAACATAGTCAACAAATATTGGCGTACAACATCAACAATCGTCAACAGTTATCGGCGTATAGCATCAACAATCATCACATAACATCAACAATCGTCATACAACAGCACAGCATCAACATAGTCAACAAATATTGGCATACAACATCAACAATCGTCAATAGTTATCGGCGTACAACATCAACAATCGTCATACAACAGTAAAATATCAACATTGTCAAGTATCGTTGAGTTTTAACTTTTCAAAGTTACATTTTTAATCCTCAACATTCAGTGACGTAGAGTAAGATGATGAAGTCATGTCAAAACAATTAAATGCAAAAACCTACTTCAAAATAAGATTTCTCATGACAGACACACACAACTGTCAACACAAACGAGCGGACCCACGGACTTTTTGCCTACCAGCCACTGCTAATTCAAGCAACAATCAAATTTGTTTCTTATTTTAAATGCTCTAAATCTTAAGAGTAGCAAAAGTACAAAAAAGTACAAAAAGTTTTGTTCCATTGGTAGATAATTTTACTTAATTATATGCAGTTTTCTCAAATCACGATAAAACGTTCTTAATACAAGAGTCATTATTATTAAAAGTCAGAGAAGGCTTCACCGTGAATTTTGGCAAGTAAGAGTAAGTACTGCGACCAATACTGTATAACATTGTGTCGCATTTGTTGGAGTGTAGCCAACAAGAGAGAGAAATATCTGAGACTTTCTGAGAACTACTTCACAATCCAAGATGCAATTTTCTCCTGCACAGTAGGTGGCGGTGATGCCTTTAAAGATGGATGGTGTGTGCACCTCCAACTAAATCCAAAAGAAGAAAATAGTACCATGTAACGTAAAAACTTTGTATTCATTGGTCTATTATAAGGTTAGTTCATATAATTTATTGATGAATGTCGATGCTTACTGCCAGTAAAAATATAAAAAACAAACATTTCAATTGGGTTCACTGATAATAAAATTCATAAACTCCAGCCCAGTTGGTAATGCATTTGAACACAGATTGTCACTGTCAAGTTAAACCCAAAAGAAGAACTGAATATGTATTGACAAATTATAATGCTGGTTTATATTCTTTGGCTGAGTCTTTAGTTACCAACTTCCATTGATCCACCCATTTTCTTCTGCTTGTCCTGGGCTGGGTCGTGGAGGTAGCAGTCTAAGCAGGGCCTTCCAGACTTCCTTCGCCCTGGACACTTCCTCCAGCTCCTCCAAGGGGACTCCAAGGTGTTCCCAGGCCAGCTGAGAGACATAGTCCCTCTGGCGTGTCCTGGGTCTTCCCCGGGGTCTCTTTCCGGTGGGACATACTTCCCAAGAGAGGCATTCTGGAGGCATCCGGAGGAGATGCCCGAGTCACTTCAGCTGCTCCTCTCGACGTGGAGGAGCAGCGGCTCTACTCCGGGCTCCTCTCATGTGAATGAGCTCCTCACCCTATCTCTAAGGGAGCGCCCAGCCACCCTGCAGAGGAAACTCATTTTGACTGCTTGTGTCTGAGATCTTGTTCTTTCGGTCATTACCCAAAGCTCATGATCATAGGTGAGGGGAGGAACGTAGATTAATGGTAAATCGAGAGCTTTGAGAGCCTTGAGACTCAGTTACCAATTTGCATCAAATTATTTACAGCTCTATATACCATAACTGGAGTAATCGAAAAACATATACACCAAAAAAATATACAACTTTTCCACAAATTTACAAAATGTTATAATAAATAATTTGTATTTTTTCCCAATTTGGATTCATACTCCAGCCAGGGAGGTGGCAGTAATGCATTTGAAGATGGATTTTCACCCCCAGCTAAACCCAAAAGTAGAATCATTTTTCCCAACTTTGTAAATTTCTATTTTACAGATACAAAATGTTGGCATTATTTTGGACACAGCCAGACCCCGGCGCGTTCCCAGCAGTGCTCATGTGTTTGCCGTTTGATTTTTCCTGTCAGGATTTTGTTGTTGTTATGTTTAAAAAAAAAATGTGTGGATGCCTATTTAGCTTTTTGAATGTGTTCCAGGTTTAGAGATTAGAACTTAAAGCATGCCTGATTTTTACTGCAAACTTTACTGTATTTTTCAACATGTTGCCGTTCTTGTTGTTTTATTTTATTTTTCTGATTTATTCTTAAATGTTGCCACCATTTGCTCTTATAGTTTCTGATGTGAATTTTGCCTTCTCATTATTAAACGTTTGTAAAGACCACTATTTGTGCTGGAAAAGTGCAGGGCGTTCTATGCTGTCCCATACTATGATGTTTATTTATGATTTGCCAATGAGTGTGAATGCATACATGGTGTTTTTACGTTTCATAAGTGTAAC